TAGACGTTCTAGTTTGGCGCAGTGCGAAGCCGCCACAAAGAATATCGCGTCCTCCGTAACTAAGCCCTCTGCGTTCCGTTCCTATGAATCCAGCGCTTGCACGCACTCGCTACAAAGCAAATGGTGAGTTCAGTTCCATGGCTGTCAAGTGCGCAATAGTATTGGTTCGTAACTGGAGCATTGTTAGTCGCAAACCGCCTTTCCGCAACGATATTTGGCTACCTAGTTTCTGCAGTGTCGCTGACGCGCCTATCAACGTGCACGCGCAGTAGATGGCTTCCCAGTGTCGCCCATCTAGGGGGTAGGGGAACACATCCACGTGCGTAGAATATGGGAATACGGCCTCTGGAGTAATTCCACCAGATGTTTCAAGACCAGCCGCGCTGAGCACGCCACTGCCCATCGTACGCTCTGTCCTCAAACCCCGTGTGACAAAAACCGCCCAAAACGGTAGAGCGATCATCGGCACCGAACCCTGCACTACGGGTTCCTTCTGCGGCGATGGCCGCTTCTCTGAATTGTGTGGCTAGGCTGTGCGCACATGCGCGCAAGCGCACACGCAAACATACAGCCAAACAAACGCACAAACACATGCATTCAAATCAGCATTGCGTTCTCAATGCATTCTGCCTGCCCAGCAAACAAGCTGTCACGGCTGCCGTGGGGTGTGAGTACCTGAAAATCCGAACATAGCTCTTCGGACTAGTGCACGACGCTATTCCCACTCTTCCACAGGCTACCCACCACCGCCCGCAATAAAGCATTCTGCATTGGCCAGGCGTGGGCGTCCAGCAACAGCTAGTCGCAAAGCCTCAAAAGTGCGCGCCATACCGAAACGGGGTATTCCCGCTGCAGCGCCAGGCGCCGCTTTCCAAAACGCAACTATCGGGCTTGTGCAGCCTCTTCCGGTTAACGAGAACGCCTGCGCCCGCCTGCAGCACAAACTAGACGGTGGTTCTGGACACAACGGGCAGTCCAAATTCCAGGCAGCAGCAAACGCTGCCAGCTTAAACTATTGTTTCGCCATGCCGTCCATATACGTCTTTTGTCTAATTTGTCCTTTTGGCTAACCTGTTGTCATCATCACGCGTAGCTCCCCACAGTAAGCTACTGTGAAGTTCTTCAGCCAAGTTGCGAGGAGCGACGCAGGTGTATCACTTCCCTACAATCAGTCCACCAAATCAATGGACACAATCATGTCAGTGCACTTGGCGCACAGGCAATCAATCACTGAGCACTACGTAGGATTGTACTGGAGCATTTGTGCATCCCTCTTTGGCGCTCCTCAGATCACCAAAACCACAAAATAGTGCATCATGCACAAATAGTCTCCAAGCTACCCGTGGCCTCCACCGTCATGTCCCTCAGCATAGATATCAAATTTGTAGCGGCCTCTTTCAGAGAGGCTGAAAAGCCTTTTATGCCTCTAAAACATGTATGTTTCGCCGTCATAACGCTCATACCTAAGAATGCAACGGCGCATTAACTCTTGACCGCCATCACTGGGGACCCCTACGAAATTGAGAAGGTGCACGCGTTGACATATGCGCGCACAGGTCCTCGTTCCTCGCAGCGGACACCCCGTCCCCAAACACTGTTAAGGATGATTCTCGAACTGAAAACTCGCATACTATCCGTGTAGTCTGGAACTGTGATGAATAGTATAAAAGCCGGCGTTCGCCTTTCTGCTGCACCTATAGGGCCTCTCTGCTATGAGGGCAAATGCGTCGAGCATGCATGCACTCACTAGCTAAGAGAGAATCCATATATTTGAGTTCTGCACACGCTAACGTGCACAGGGGCACTTGCCGCAACTTAACACTGCTGTCAACGGGGGCGACTGTTCGCAAAATGGCTTGCGCTGTGTGTGTCAATGTGAACCCCTTGCAAATGCACTATCTACCCTCCCGCTGTTGCCATGTAGGGGGTGGTTGAACACATACGGGTTCCTTGAAGATGTGAATACAGGTTCTGCCAGATGCTCTGAGACACGCGTCGCTGCGCACGCCACTGCCTATCGTACGCTCTGTCCCCAAAACAAGTCTGACATAACCGCCCAAAACGGTAGAGCGATCATTGGCATCCAACCCTACACTACGGGTTCCTTCTGTGGCGATGGCCGCTCCCCTGAACTGTGTGGCGAGGCTCCCCTCAGCTGCACGCACGAGCACACGCAAACATACAGCCAAGCAAACGCACACAGACATGCATTAAAATCATCATTACGTTCTCAATGCATTCTGCCTGTCCCGCAAACAAGCTGCCGACGGCTGCCGTGGGGTGTCAGCTCCTGCAAATCCGAACATAGCTCTTCGGACAAGTGCACGACCTCACTCCCACTCTCCCACAGGCTGCGCACCACAGCCCGCAATAAAGCATTCTGCATTGTCCAGGCGTGGGCGTCCAGCAACAGCTAGTCGCAAAGGCTCCAAAGCGCGGGCCACGGCGAAAAAGGCTTCCCCCGCTGCAGGTTCGGGAGGCGCTTCCCAAAACGTAACTATTATGCTTGTGCAGCCTCTTCCTGGTAACAGGAACGTCTACAGAGACTGCCGAAGTATGGAGTTCCGTTCTGGGATAATGCTGGTGCTCGCGCTCACAAGCGCGCAATAGCTCGCCATCGAGAATTGTAGCGCCATCCACCAAATGCGTGGACGCGCACGTGCGCTCGTCA